GTAGACCTGCATAAGACTAAAACTAATAAATAATAACCATGCTAAAGACTCTGATGCTGTCCTAAAATTTCTTCCACTAAAGAAACTAACTGGGTCCATTACTTTTCATTTGATCTCATGCACATTCTTAGGGCATGGGCAGAAGACAAGTAGGTTCTTTGTTAAAGTATCACCTGAATGGACTTCAGCCCAGTTGCTCATAAAATTCTTATTTCCTCCTGAATCCTCTGAGTCAGGCTCCCACAATCCACATTACTCTCAGCACCATATACAAATTTCCAGGCTTCTACCAGAATGGACTGTTAAGCTCTGCTTACATTTTTCTAGTCCAAACTTCCAAAGTCTTCCACATTCCTCAAACAAACAAACAAACAAACAAACAAACAGTAAAATTCTTGACAGCAACAACTCTATTTCTCCTGGTATCAACTTCTGTAAGTTACATTTTTGTGGCAACTTATGGTAGAGCTTATTTTGGCTTATGTTTCCAGATGGCTAGAGTGTCACAATAGTGAAGAAAGCATGGCAACAGGTGCAGGAAGCCTCTTAACCCACAGGAGCAGAAAGTGAACTGGAAGTGCAGTCCGACTATAAACTCTCAAAGCCTGCCTCAAGTGATACTCATGTTAGACAAACCTTACATCATTTGACCTACATCCATAGCACCAGCTTTGGTGTTAAATAGATGTTCCAATGTCCAAGCAAATTAGGGTAACATCTCTGTATCCAAGATACAGCTCTCATTCACCCTTTGGGCTATAGATACTGAATATATATATATCCACGCTCACTTTTAAATTTGTCTTGGTTTAAACAACATAGTATGTGGTCATACTTTGTTAGTTTGTTGACTTTTATAGCATGCTTCCTGTTTTGATTCAGAATCATGGAGACATACCCAAGCCCACCTGTCCTTTCCATCCTTTCCATTCCTCCTGACAATAAACACCATTTCTATTGTCTCATATTAAACATCTTATTCCTGCCTCTGAGATTGCTCATGTTCTTCTATCTGACATATTCTCTTTCCATTACTCTTCTCGTATAATTATTTCTGTGTCTGTAAAGCAACCTCTGTCTTTATCCAGTCACATGGATTTCTCTTTTACATGATCTTTGCTTTGCTAAAACAGGGTAAGTTGGGAAAAGTCTGTCTTCAGAGATGTATTCCTTCCTCTCCAAGCAGTCTGGTATTACCTGGCTACAATAATGTCAAACAGGTCTTCGTTCTTCAAAGATGGTATATGAAAGGAAGCGTAAGTATAATGTATAATCTATATGTCCATGCTTTTTCACAAAAATTTTATTCACTTCTAAGGAAGTTGCAAGAATAGCATCTTCCTTGTCTGAACTTTTGCTGGAAGCAGGCACCTATTACCTTTCTCCCAGTATCCTTGCAAGACAGCCATCTACATCATGCCTAAACACATCTTTTGAGCCTACTTCTCCATGTAGCTAGGAACTTTGATGGACAATACTGTGCTACAGTGGCTTTTACAGTAAGGTGCCACGTGCATCAGAGTATTTAATGTGCTTTTGAAATCACTTGTTTAAAAGTCTAACTCCAGACACAGCTGAGTCAGTACTTGGAGCAAGGAGGGGAAACTGTACATTAAACTGCTTACAAGTGTCCAGGGGAACCTTATGACCACTGAGGGTCATGAACACTGTTATGAGGCACTGGGTCTAGACCTAGAGTTGAGCTCCATCTTCTTCATGGATGGACAGTCACTTCCCTTTTATTCAACGCAGCTCTTCAAATACAGAAAGTGTTTCTCTACACACTTTCTCTTTAATACTCACTTGTAATCAAGCTGAAAAGTTCCATACTCTAAACCAACTTGATTACTGTCCTCTGGATCTTTAATTACTTTTCAATGTCTCTCCCAAAATATGGCATTCAAGATAGTCATACATTCCAATATGAAACAGGTAGAGAGCTAGAAGGTCCCGAATGCCTTTACGAGATACTGCCAGTTATGTGGTGAACTATTCCTTTACATTCCAGCTAAGTGATCACAAGGCAGGCCATCTCAGCCCAAACCAGTCAGCATGAGGGCTTATGGCTTTATAAGCCTCAGCTGATTAAAGAGGCACATGAGGCTGACTCCCTCCTTGAACTTTTTTTTTTTGGGGGGGGTGGCTTTGCTTATATGCCGCATATATAGATTGGCAATGTATTCCTTTGTGTATTGTCTGTTCCTGTCCTGTCTTTTATTTTAACTCACTATGGCAATTGCTTTGCCAAGAACATGCTGCCTACGCACAGCATCAAATTCTCACACTGCGTTTCCCACTTTACAGGGGAGGAGACTCTACTTAGCAGTAAGGACCTTGCCATGGGGAAACAAAGGGTCATTCCACTTCCTCATTTATTTGTGACTTAGCTTAATCAACATCTTTTTGGAAGATAACTATTCATTTTGCAGACATTTTAAAAACTGGGTTGAAAGAGCTAAGTGCCTGGGGTAAAATTCAAGATGAAGGTGAAAAGACGTGAATTTTCAAAGCTCTACCCTGGATCTCCTGCTGACATTCTCATTGTTTGCTTTGTGTTTCTCCTAGCCTAGAGGTAACAGTGTCCCAACAATGATGGACTGAAATGTTAACTGTAGACATAGAATAGTAGGATGAGTATGGAGGTGGCTGTGAGGGCATACCTACAAGTGCAACACTAGGGCAGCTGAGGCAGAAGGACCTCAGCACTAACTATACAGTCAGTTCAAGGTCAGCCTGTCCTATCTAGTGGCATGCTAGGAAAAGGAAGTGCCTGTATTAATTCATATATCGTCAAGAGAAGTAACAAGCAGCTGTCCCAAAATGAGTGCCCAGAATAGGACCAAGGGGAGCAATTTGGAGCGGAACAGGACTAGATAATGAGTCTGCCTGTTGAGAGAGGATCTATATAGCACATATGCACAGGCAAAGCTAGCCTTCATGTCTTCCATTTTATATTATTTGATATCCCCAAACCAATGTTTATACAATTATCTAAAACTTTAATGTTAATTCATTATTTATAGCATTTTAGTCCAAACAGCTGAGCTTCTCACAGATTCGGTTAATTTAATCAAACTCCATGCAATTATAATTTAATTAAAACTACATATGCATAAAGTTGAAATGCTGATATTCAAATCAGTTGAATTCACAACAAGATTAGAAGAAATGCAAACGATTAATTACGGAACCAAATTAAAAACAAAATTTAAAGCAATTTAATCTCTTTTTCTGTCTAGCATGTCACCATGACCCAAAGGTCATGAATCCTCAATGTCATACAGTGGGTGGAAACCCAGAGATTCAAATCCAAGTTTCTTGACTTCAAATCCACAGCTTGTTTATCTGAAGGTCCATTCCAGGACCTTCAGTTGTTCACTGTATCCATTAAATGACTTTCACCAAAACCCAACAAACTTTTCCTCAACAATTATGTACCAGTGAGGGGATCAAAGCTCCCGTTGTGAATGAAAGAGGTCTTGATTCTGAGACTTAGTTGGTTTAGCACCTGAGAAGGGCCTTGAGTGCTGTACTCCTCTGTAAGCTCTGAAAGAATTTGGCCTCTACCTTGTTAACAGAAACATGTTTGCTCATTATTTCAATGCCCTACATTGTTCTCAAACCATCTCCATGCCTAATAAAAATAAATAAATAAACATACAAAGTGCTTTGCAAGTTACATGTCAGCATTTTCTTAAATGGGAAGGAAGTCTTCTCTGTTTCTTTTTTTATTCGAAGTTTTCTGTAACTAATTTTAAATTTTTTCTTAGGCAAAAATTAAGCCTACTTTCTCAACATTAAACTTTCAGTCTCTCCATAACCTATGATATAGTCACTGGTCCTTCTTCACAGTTTATTTTCCCTTTTTTAATCATTGGGACCTAGAGCTTTACACATGCCAGACAAGTATTCTACTATTGAGCTGCATCTTCTGCCCTTGAATTTTTTTTGGAATAGGGTCTTACTATAATGCAGTGTTTAGTTGTAATTATTACCTTGGCACAATCCAGAAAAATAAGGTCAATAAAGGATTGTCTAGATTAGGCTGGGCTGTGGGCATGCCTGTAGGGGATTGTCTTGGTTACTTTGAGGCAGGAGGACCCAGCCCACTGTGGGTGGCATGATTCCCTAGACAGTGTAAATGTAGAGATGGGCTAAGCACAAGAAAGCATGTATTCACACACTCTCTGTTCTCCATTGTAGACTGGATGTTTCAAGTTCCTCCCCTGAAGTGACAGACGATAACCTGGCATTGTAAACTTAATAAACCTTTCCCCATCAAAGTGTATTCTGTCACAGTAACAGGAAAACAAAACTAGGACACGCTGTAACCCAGGCTGGTCTCAAACTTGTCTTCCTACATCTTCCTCCTCAGTGCTGTGATTTTAGGTCTGTGCTCTCATGCCAAGCTCCCGAAGAGATGTTTAAACCCTAAATAGGGAAACAGACTGATTTTTAATGAGCAAAAGCCACTCCTACTTACCTGGTTATTTATTTATCAAATCATTTCCAAAAATTTTTGCAGATCTCAGTGCAGAAATGGGCTAACCTAATTCACATTCCACATAACTCTTTCCACCTTCACCACCAGTATTCCCAGCCCATGGCCACTGCCCTGCAGAGAAATTACCCACTTCCTCTCCACACAGACCTCCTGCTGCTCCATAACCCACCATAAGTGGCACTCCCTCATTCACCCTCTCTCTAACTCCCAAATTATATGACATTCCCACAACCACTATGGTGGTAAGTGTATTATACTAATGTGTAGCTTACCCAGTAAAACCCTAAAGTCATTACAATTGACAATCCGGAGCCATGTGAACTTGATACACAATCTATAAACTTTAAAAGCAAATGGAAAGTTCTGTGTCATGAGGATAGAGCCTTTCCAAGCCCATCTGGGATATTTGGGCACAGCTCACCTCTCATCCCTACCACCCACAGACATAGAGACTGTTTCCTGAAAAGATTAAGTGGGCACAATGGGACATACTCACTGCAAATCGGACTTGGCAGTTCTCCTCTCCCAGGTAGCAGAGGTCGCCTGAGACATTGGTCTCCAGCCAAAGGTGTTCCCCATTCACAGCATTCTCCTGGAAGAAAAAGATCCACCCACTTCAGTTTTCTCTTCAGCATCAAGGGAAGACTTTTTGCTCTGAATTTTTATGCAAAATACTTAGTGATTCTGAGGAGTTTAAATATTCTTCATGGGATCTTCAAAGACACTGCTGGAGTAGACCCTACGGAAATTCCAGAAAGGGAAAATAGTGTTTGGGACCTCTGATTTATAACGAAAACCTATACGAGATCTATAAAGACCTTGTCTATGGATGCATCACCTTGAAACATTTTCAACAAGGAAAAGACAACTGTTTTTGGCTCTGTGTAAAGACTTATTTACCCAGACCCCACACTGTTGATGTAATGACACAGGAGACTAAAATTAACTAAGAAGGAGGCTGATAATATTAAAATCCTTCAGGTAAGACTGGCTGACAATGCATTCATATTTACGTTGCCTCTCTAGAGCTCAAAACACAGCACATTTCTACTACTCCAAACATATTGCTAATTCGGTGAGGCCTTCCACCCAATTAATTCTAAATTTTACAAACAGAGTAATTTGTTTGCTTCCTAAAATACACACTTATGTTCGTGAGTGGAGCTGCTGTGATGTACAACACAATGAGCAACAGGCCCATTTTATCCATAAATGTGTGGAGCGCAATGGGGAGGCGGGCAATCATTTGGTGTTTAAATATAGCAAATTGAATTCCATGGTTTTTTTCCTGATAGCCACTTTAGAGAATGTGAATTTATATACTAATTATATATTCTTTTTATTTGCTGAGAGGATGGGATATTGAGAAAAACACTGTCGTGGACTAATCACAAAGGGACATGAGACTAACACCTACAGGGTTTATAGGAAAAGTCCTGTTGTTTTATTTTATGACATCAAGGGTTAGCAGTTATCTTTTGATGGGGGATGCTATGGGCTACACTGTGCCTCTGTCCCCAATTCATATCTTAAAAATCTAAACCACACTGTGATAGTATTAGGACAGGGACTTTGGTAAGCAGTAAGGTCAGAAAGGATGGAGGTTTCACTATGGGATCAGTGCCCTTCTAGGAAGAAACCCAAGAGAGTTCTTCCTTTCTCCACAGGCATGCCCTGAAAAAAAAAAAGCTACCTGAGGTCACAGCAAGAAAACAACTACCTGCCAGACAGGAAGGGGGCCCTCAGGAACTCAGTGTGCCAGCACCTTGTCCTTATACCTTCTAGGCTTGAAAATGCTGGGAAATCAATGTCTGTGGCTTAAGCCACCAAGTCTGGCATTTGGTGATAACAGTCTGAACAGGCAACAAAGGATGACTTCAATAAAGAGTTTCACAGAATAACTAAATAATTTAGAGGTCCATCTTGGGATAATTCACTCTAGATGCATCCACACAACAGCCTTCCCAATTTCAAGGCTTAAAAGAGAGAAGCAGAGATGTAGACCAAATGTTTCCAGCATGGAGAGGGAAAGAGTGCCAATTGTCTTGTGGTTGGTTGGTTGGTTGGTTGGTTGGTTGGTTGGTTGGTTGGTTGGTTGGTTTATACAATGAATACATTTTTTTCAGATGCAAATAGAATACATTTTCCCTTCAGAGTAAAGGGTCTCAAATGATTTCAGGCAAGAAAATCCACAGGCCACATTCTGACCTAAGATCTAGATGCTTCAAGATCCAAAGAAATAAACCTCAAAATATCAAGATGAGAAGTGAACATGTGGGGAAAGTAATCAGGCATATAGATGTCAAAGGCTCAGAGAGACCCTGAAATGAGGATATGCCACACCCAACCCCAAGTGCCTCAAAACCATTCCTAGAGTGGTGCACATGTGTGATACCAATAGTGTTGGGGCAGGAGTCCTGATCAAGTGTTCAAGGCCAGCCTGAGATATGCAGTGAGGCCTTGTCTCAGATTACAAAACAGAGCAAAGGTTCCTAAAATGAAAACAAGGCTGTTGAGAATGATCGTCACCCACTACCAAAGAGCAACTTTTTTTCTGATTTTTTTTCTTTTCCTCAATAATATTGTCCTTTGGTGAATAATGCTCAGTTCACACATAGATACTCAGTTCACACATAGACTTTCACATGAAAGTATACCTCTCTTCTTGTTGTGGAATACTAACAGAACAAAGGAAAACTAGACATAGGGCTGAATCTTTAAAGTTTTTTAAAAATAATAACATCATTAGAGAATAAGATACAAAGGCAGTTCTTTACAAGATATCATAAAGAAATCCATGCTCACAATCTAAAACACTACAGAGAAGTTAACATCTGACTTTATCTTCTAACCAGTTATACGAAAATACCATTTTCATTTTCTTGTTCATCTCATTCAGCAGACATTTGCTCTTCAATGCCGGCACTAGTCATGGGCACGCTGTGATATCTCACCATGGCAAACTGACTAGAAAAGTTGGAAACTAAACATGACATCATAACAGCAAATACTAGAGGAAGGACTTTAGAAGAAATGCGGCCAATGATTTTAAGGAGTCCAACATAAAACTGTTCTCATGGAGCGAGTGTCAAGAACAACCTATAATGGGCCCATAATGGAGTCCTGGAAGGGCAGAAAAGCTCCACATCCCTGGCTTACCAAAGGCCAGGAATTCCTGGGCCTCAGGCTTCTTTGCAAGCTTTCAGAGGCTTGCCAGACTGCTACTTTCAGTTAGGCTCATTTATGGATGTGAACTTAATATAAAAGAGATGGACCTTTGGAAGGAAAAAGAAGGAGCCTAATGCATCCTGTCACCATCTAGTGCACTGGTTCTCAGTTTGAGCTATCTACTCAATGGCCTGGTAAAATCTTAAAAATATGTGGGTATATTCCAGAGAGTCTGTGCCAGTGAATCTCAATAACACTTGTATATAATAATTGCTCAAAGGTCCTGAGGTGGCTCTAATATGCTTTGGAGTCTATGACCCAAGAGACCTCTTTAAGCTTTTAGGTAATAGATTCTAGAGCATGTCTGTGAGACAAAATACGACACTGCATTCTTCTCTGTCTTGTACAGTCACCAGAAAATAAGAATAAGAGAAACATGGCATGAAGTATCTCTGATAATTTTAAGGAAAGAAACAAAGTCATAAGTCCATACACGCAGATCTGGAGATCACTGTGAAAAGCCTGAAAGTGACGGAAAGGAAAGCAACATATAGAAAAAAAAAAAAAAAAGACAAAGTACGGGGCCAGGTGAAACATGCCTGTAATTCTAGCACTCGGGAGGCAGAGGCAGGCGGATCCCTGTGAGTGTGAGGCCAGCCTGATCTACAAAGCAAGTCCAGAACAACCAAGGCTACACAGAAAACCCTGTCTTGAAAAAACAAAAAACAAACGAAAGAAAAAAAGACAGGGTAATACATTCATTGCTTAAATGAGTATGCTTACTTTGAGAAACAGTTCATAAAAAAATAGTTCTAATGGAAGAAAAAGATAAGTATATACCTATCTAAAACTCCTCAATGGGTAAAAACTAGTTACAAGAACTACAACACAATAGAATGTTGTACTGTCAAGAAATACAAATATGGAGATGGGCCATTTACAGAACTTCACGGTATAGAGTAAAATTCAGAACTGACTTGCATCATAGTTATAGATACACATAGAAATAAGAGCTGAAAACAACTAAGTTTACCATTTGTTGAGTTCTTGACACACATTTTCATTCTTCTCCCTCTAGAGGGAAAGCCCAACAGAGAATTCTTACATTCTGTCTCTTCCTTTCCACACCATTAAGACTGGTTGAGCCCAGTTCTAGGTGTTCTTCCTTCACATGCCAATACTGTTTTCCAGATCACCAGTGATGTCACATGGCTGAACCCAATGGCCAATGATCAATCTTCATGTGCATTAGCAACTTCAACATTGATCCAGATGCACTTTCTTCTTCTCTGCTGGGTTTTCTGATGCCTCTGTGGTTACTCCTTCCCAGTTTCATTGGTTGGATCTTCCTGTGCCCAAATTTTCAACGCTGAGGTGTTCTAAAGCTCAACGTTCAGATCTTCACTCTCTTCTATCTACATTTGATCCTTAAATTACTGCATTGAGTTCTCTCTCAGCTTTACTACTCACTAATTGTTAACTTCAAATTATTTACTCAATATAACTGCTTTTTTTTTTAGCTTCACTAATAAACTATTGTCCACAGCATCTCTTTGGGAGATCCAATAAGAATCTCAAATTTTTATATTTGCAAGAACTGGATTTCCTCCTCTGATTTGTTCTTGTCTTTTCTCTGGATTTTCAGTAAGTGGAATTTCCATTCTTACTATTTTGGCTGAAAACTGGGAGTCCTTCTATAGTTCTTTCCTATTTACGGCCAATCTCATTAAATCATAATTTCAAGATGCATGTGTAGCCCCGTTACTACTCCCCACTTCTACAATTGCACCAGCTTTGGCTTACAATAACTCAATATCCAACCACAGCTGGTGTCCCTACTTCTGTCTCCACTCCTGGTGTCTATTTTTCAAAACTACTGCCACATCAGCAGTAGTTGAGATGAAAGCCTGGGACTTTCTACTGTTCTGTGGCTATACACGCATCAACCTAGGGAGCTCAATTTGGAGACCTTCACTGAGGTGAAGCTGAGGTCTGATGAAGTAAGAATGTCATGGTACACCAGAATGAAGCAGAGTTGGAGTGTATTAAGAAGAGACTTTGATGGTCTGCAGCACAGAGATTAACAGAAAGAGTGACACTCTGAGGGAAGGACAAAACATACCTGAGTGTAGACAGGCTTCTCAAAAGAGGCTGGAGCTGAAGTATTTTAGCAAGAGCCATAAATATGTCTTGATTGGTCTGGTCTGGTTTGGTTTTGGTTTTTCCGAGGCAGGATTTCATGTAGCCCAGGCTGTCCTTAAACATGTACATAGCTCAAACATACTACGTTTAAAACTTTATCCACCTGCTTCAACATCCCAAGTAAGCCACCAAGCCTTGTGAATATACGTGATTTTGGTGGCTCTTGACTTAATCTCAAATAGTTGCTAAGAAACTTTATTCTTCCCTTTACCCCCTTCTCAA